TTTTTTTTCTCTCCACTGCTGAGATTTAAGGAGGTATGACGGTAAAAAAAATAGCGTGCTCATTTGTGGCAGGGTTGACAAAATCTGTGCACACCACAGTTCTGAGTGTGTGTTTCAGTGAAGCGTTAATGACAGTTCTCAGAGGGCCCTCACAGCTTCAGATCCATGTTTTCATTCCCTGGTGGAACAACGTCAACAGCCAGTGGATTCTCACCGTTTGATGTCCTCTGAAACGCCACTCCCATCAACACACACACACACACACAACCTTCACTTCTGCTTCTCCTCAAGACGTCTTTGTGTACATCAAATGTATGTGCAAATCCTGCATGTTTGCGAATCGTGTGCACTCTGTGCATTTAGCTGCGTGTTAGCACGCATGCGTCAGCATCCGCACACAGCTTGGTCTCTGTGTGAGGTAGCTCCTAATTGAGGATTCGATGCAGCTGTCTTGTCTCTTACGTTTCTCTCATTTTTCTGCCTAGCCGCTAGTTAGACTCAAACCGACAAACACAGAGGGAGGACAGAGAAAGTGTAGCTTTTTCACAAGTCTTTGAATCTGTTGCCATATGCAGTTTAACATCTTCAGGCGCTTGTAAAGCATCGGAAACCTCGGACTGATTCCAGGACGAGAAAGCAATTTACTCGGAGTTTAGAAGACGGCTTAATTTCACCGAAACATTGAGTTTAAGCACTAAAAAGTGTTCTCTGTGAAGTTTTAATCATAAGCTGGAAGGGATGCGAGTGCAGTGATGTGTACTGGAGTTGTCGGTAGGGTAGGTGGTCAAATGCTTTATGGACGTTATATAATAAACAATCGCATGGGGGGGAAAATGCTTTTGTTTAGACTGGGATTTCATAGGGGAAAGGCAGGAATTCACAGGGATTAATCACATATAGCCAGAGCACAGCACAATGTTACATTTCTGGCAATGGAAAGACAAGGATTTGGACGGAGTCAACAGCCGTAGAGAAGAAGTCGAAACAGAGGAAGAGGCAGAAGAGGCAAAGGGCATATGCCGGTTTCCATCGTTTCAAAATCACCAAGATGTGGTTTGCGACCCGCAACAAGATGCTGATGGAGTTCCTCTCACCCTGATCTTCATTCTTTCACTCCAGTGGGGAATTGTCCTCAGCATGGTGAGGAAAAGAACAGGAAGACGGCTCTGTAGTTCAAACAGCGGCGCATGTGTTGTCTTATCTTCCCGTTTCTGAGTGTTTCGTCCTTATGCTCTGCAGTGCTGCCTTTTCCTTTCTGTATTACAACGAAACGGTCTGTCAACATATTATAATGAAAGCGTAAATGTGAGTCTTGTCCAGTCTCTTGTCATTGATCACCCGTAATTGCAATTTACAATACTTGTCATCAAAACGTTAGTGGCAGTTTATAACAGTTTATATGTCAGTTATTTCAACAATATGACTAAGCAATCTGACTCTCCTATGCATATACCGCACAACCAAGACTTGCCATTCTGACATATTAACATGTTCACTCACAGATGTTTACTTTTGAGAGATGAATTAAGGATTTTTGAGCAAGAGACTGCCTTTTCCAGGTAGCCTATGGTGTTTTGTATTGTTTTTGAATTGGTTTGAGAAACATTTTTAATTCCCTCCCTCTTTTTAGCGTCTCCAACCTCTGCTATCCCACTCATATCCTCATTTACATCCCTGTCCATATTGGGCTCTTCCAACAAATAATATTTACATCTCCTGCATTGACACGGCCACCATCTCTAAACCAAAGACGAAAGCAGTATTCACTAACGTCTTCTCTTATTTTGCTTTCCACTCTTCCTGAATTATCTTTTTTTCCTTCACTTCTCTTGACCGATCCTGGTTACTTAAACGCATTCACTCGTTCACGAAGCGAAACCTTCTACCTCTCATTCACACACGTTTTCTGTCTTTAGTCTGCCGACGTCTTTGTTCTTCCAAAGCAGACATTAATATTTATTATTAGGATTTTCCCGCTCAAACAACAATGTTTATAGGAAAATGGATCAATGGCAAACAGTCTGTAGAAGAATTGCTAAAAAGAAAACCCGTTTGAGGTTGCAAAGCTATTAAGAACCAGACAGAGGTTTGCCTTCCAGCAGGACAAAGTCCCTAAACTAAATCGATAAAACTATAATTCTGTGGTTTGCCATGCTATTTTGCAGATAGATAGATAGATAGATAGATAGATAGATAGATAGATAGATAGATAGATAGATATATAGATAGATAGATAGATAGATAGATAGATAGATAGATAGATAGATAGATAGATAGATAGATGTGGCAAGTGTGAGGGAGGGAGACAGACAACAAGTGTGAGTTAAAGCTGGAGAGTGTGAGTGAAATTGCCCTTGTTCCTCGCTTCAGATTCTGCTCACGTTCTGCTCTGTCCCCAGACGTTAAAAGTGTGTCCATAGTTTTGGCGACCGGGGGAGTGATTGGAAATGTCAGCTGACAACAGCACTTTTCACTGACACTCTGAGAACTGGCACGAAGACAGAGAGAGGGAGAAGGGGAACTCGGAGCGAAGGATGGAAGGGGGCGGATGTGCCCACAAACAACCCGAGCCTGGTAGCTGAGGATGAGGATGACATTGAGGCCAGAGAAGGAATTTGCGAATGTGTCTGTGTGCTATCGGTGAAATATTCTTCTATTAACTTACTGTATCAGTGTGCGCGTATGAAAAATTGTCTGTGAGCTGGTTTCTGCGTGCATACGCAAAACCTGTCATGTCACCGAGTGACAGGAAACTGCCACTTTGTCCATTTCTGAAAGCTGGAGAGTGTATTAGATCCCCAAAGCTTTCACTGCTGTCCAGTAGCCCCCACTGACAACCCTCTGCCACTCTGACCTTTTCTAAATGTTACTGGCCACTTGGCAAGCTGACTTGGCCCCTAATGCAGCTTTTATTGGCCCCTATTTTTCACTCAATTTCCCCAGAATGCCTGCAGGGCTACACTGACATACAGCTGACTTGAACTGCAGCTGACACACACAGGAGCAGTGAGAGAGCTCATCAGAGGTGAGTATTAACCAGGTACATTTACTTCTTACATTCAGCTGAGAAACTTAAAAAAAAAAAAGAAGAATAAGAAAAGCACTTTTAGAAGAGGTTTCAACTGTGCTCTACTTTTAATTCCACTTGAGTAATATTATGTTCAAGTTGTGCTGCAGTAACTCTACTCTGACTGAATACTGTGCCCAACTCCAGTTACTTCATTAAAGGAAGTACCAACAAGTTCTAGCCAAAAATTGTATCAGACGCAGAGTTTTTGTCAAAGTGAGACTTCTTGTTTCTCCATAAGCTTCGTTTTTCTGTAATGCCGTGTTCCATCTGCTGAGACCGCGGCAGCATTTGGAGGTCAGAGAAATATAAAGTTAACAGGATATATTATCTCTGCTAGTACTTGTGTAGTGTTTTCACACACTAAGTATTCTCAGTACTTCCCTTTTTGTCCATTTTGTTATGTTACAGCCTTATTCTTAGCTGTTTCCACTGATCATCTTGACCTCAGACTGGGGTGACGGTTCATTTTTCAACAGGACAATGACCCAAAGCACTCTGTGAATGTCCTGGAGTTGCCAGGGAGAGAATCTGGAAATGACTGCACAGCGCGGGCTCCCATCCAACCGGATGGAGCTGGAAAAGAACTGCAGAAGAGAATGGATGAAACTACCTAAAGATAAGCATGCTAAGCTTGTGACACCATTTTGAAAAAGACTTATAGCTGCAACAGATGCCAAAAGTGGATCAAGAAACTATTAAGCAAAGGCTGTGAATACTTACATAAATGGGGTTTCTTGTTTTGTTTTGTTTTTTGTTTGTTTGTTTGTTTTTTATATAAATGTGCAAAAATCTCAAAAACTTTTTTCCACATTGTCAAAACGGCTTATTTGTGTGGAGAATTTTGAGGAAAGAGATTTATTTTAATACGAATAATAAGAGTAAGGCTGTAATACAAAATGTGAGAAAGGTGAAGCATTATGAATACTTTCCCAATGCATAGTATGTGTATTGTTTCAAAAGCTTTATCTTATTTAAACAATTAGATTTGGAAAGGTGAGTTTCTTCTGTCTGAATTTATCTGGTCATGATGTTTTCCTGCAAAATTTGCACCAAACTTTTTTTATGATGTAATCAAAGTCTTTTTTCAACTTTACCAAAGACATCTTACATAAATGCTTATCATATTTGTGTACAATTTCTGTCTGCTCTAGTCACTTCTAGAGACGAAATGTGCTAATCTTTACAGATATTTATTTTTTAGGAAAAAAAAAAATTAAAATCTACTCTTATTTTTAACTTGAAGCCAATCAGTGGATAGCAACTTTTATTGATAAGTGGTGTCAGAATTAAAAATGCTCATGATTACCGAATTACAACTAAAATAATCAGAAATCTCTTATTGCCTTGCTACTTTTTTTATAAAACTTTTTGTATTATGACCATGGCAGTGTTTTAGAAGATGATCCATTTTTAATATAAAAAAAAGGAAATAAAAATAAGAAAAAATGCTTAACAAAAGAAAACAGCTCCACCAATATACATATAAACATGTATGTTAAAATTTTGTTTTGTGGGTCAAAGAATCAGCTTGTTCCCAGGCTGTTACTAAGGAGCGATGGAAGCATGCAAACTGTATGACTGATTTACTTACTTACTATCACTGCCTTAGAATTGACTTGGAAAATCTGGGAGGCTTAAAACTTCTGCTGAAAGACAGACGGGTGTTTATTTTTCTCTCCCCATGTGAGCATGTGACACAGTCCAGAAAGGAGAGGAAGGGTTAGGCCCATGTGGGCTGTGTGCGTTTCTTTTCCCCCCGAGGAAGCCGAAAGGAACCCATAGGTCAACAGCACACTGCTGATGCTCATTAGATGCTGCTGTTGGACTCACACAACACTAATTAAACCAGTGAGAACTGAGCTGAGCGGTAATGAAGTGAACTGCGAAGCTGGTGGCGAGTCAAAACAGAATGGAAGAGGACGAAACTTACGGCTGACAGAGTTTGATGAGGTCCTGGTCTGTGGTGGCAGGTGGCAGCCCCCTGATGTACAAGTTGGTCTTACTAAGTTGCTCCACCAGCCCACCTCCATGACCTCCACCCCCTCCTCCTGTTGTGCCTGGACTTGGTGGAGCCATGGGCTGAGGAGGAGGAGCATAGGACTGCTGCGGAAAACGGGGGAGAAGAACAAATGAGAAAGGTGCATTTTAATTTCTGGCTAATTTATTTTTGGTGCGCCGTCGAGTCTGCACACGGTTCGTTTGGGTTTTAAGAATGTAGCCCATTTCTACCTAATCAAACATCCTCCTTCCACCAAACTCATCCTGCTTAGTTATCATTTCCTGTACCACTCCATTTGCTTGATTCAGCAGGAAGCACATCAAATTAAGAAGGCAGGATATGAGGTGAACAGATTAACAGGCCAAGATGGAACCGCGTTTTACCACAGAAACTTGCACGAATCACAACACCAACCATTTCCTGTCCCTTGCTAAAGGATTCACACCCTTTCAGCTTTATAACACAGTACAACCACAAACGTCCATTTATTTGATTGCAATTTTATCACATTTAGGTCAAAGTAGGATGTTTGCACACCATTAACTGCAGGTCTTTAGAAAAACATAAATTGAAGCTTCAAAATGACAAATAAGGTCTTGAAAGTGCAATTCATTGGAACGTGATAATTCTTTTATCATGTTAGTATCATGGTCAGAAACATTGCATTTAGACATGGTTTGACAGTTGCAGCAAATTCAAAGCATTTATAAAGTTTTTCCTTTTTATCTGAACAGCTGAACAATTAAATTGTTATAATTAAAAGCATCCATTCACTTTTTAAGTTGAGACAAAAGTTATTTGTTGAGCATTTTTTGTTCCATCATTTTCACCTTTGGGTGTTGGTCCTTGCTTCAAATGTAAAACCTTTTTGTCATTTTAACAAGCACTGCTGAATAAAAAAGAAAATTCAATAGCCTGACATATTTCAAAATATTGTTGCCATGCCTTGTGGCTATGTGGAATCAAAACCGGACACACAAAGTTTAATCCTTGCCGGAGCGTTATGTCGCTCTTTAACTTCCTAAAACATCTCATATCGGCCTCCTCTGTCTAATTATACAGCTCAATACTGGCTAAATGGCTCAATAAGATGACCAGCTCTGGCAGGGAGGAAGGCAAGTGTGAGGATTAATGAGTGTCTGGCACTGATGAAACATCCATCCTTGCTTTGGCCCAAGGCAAAGTATTAAGTGAAGACTGTTGGAAGTAAACATGACAACAGTGTTGGAAAGACTTTGTCTTGATCTTTGAGTGAAGCTACGCTCTTTCGACACAGAGGTCAGTCCTGCTGTGCGAAAGCGCACCGAGCAAGTTCGAAGACGGGGAAACGTAGACGTAAGCGACAGAAATGGAAGAGAAAGGGAGACTTTCTGTGTATATGTGAGGGATGGGATAGTGTGTGTTGGTGTGACTGTGTGTGAGTTTGTGCATGTGTGAGCCATTGGTGTTGTTGATAATGACAGGCTGTCACTGCAGAGCAACGTGAAGCCTGAGCCAACTCTGATATTAATCCATTACCTGAGTGTTCCTCAGATCACACTCCAATGGATGAACACACACGCACACACACCCACGCACGCGTTCACGCACAGGCACGGTGAAAGCTCAGAGGGACATTATTAACGGGATTCAGTACATGTAGAAAAGACTTCCTACAGCAAAAGAAAAAAAATGGATTTGAAACAGAAATATTTGAGTATGCAAACATTTGGATGTTTTTTAGAGTAGTATTTTTACAATGAGCGCTCACACACAACTAACCAGTGAGAGGGTTTAAAACACAAGAAGCAGCTGCTCTGTGTTGGACCCTTCCTGAGTGTCTCATTCAAAATATCATACTTAAGATCAGAAAACTTGTACAATCTGTGTTGGCATGCTTGTGGCTACGATGATTGAAACCCCGCAGCATCAAAGCCTGACTCAGTCTACACACTTTACCAGTGGGACTGTTGTCCAACTGCCTCTGACAGATGACATGGAAATCAATCTGAGTGATGGAAAGTTTCAAACACAAAAGAATCTAAAATCTGACATATATATATATATATATATGTTTTTTGCCCGTTTGCATTATGATCTGGAGCAGAAAACATATTCTGCGCTTGTGTACACAGATATCAAGGCATGGAACAATGTGTAAAATCTCTTTTCTCCTGTCTCACTGACACAGCATAACACACACACACGCGCGCGCGCACACGCATGTATACATATACCCAGTTGATCAAAGGCCTTGCCCAGGGAACCTCTTTCAGCAAATTTGTGCAGCTGTTGGGGTGGGGATGATGGTGAGCTGTGTCAGAGGCTGTGATATGGGAAAGTCTTTGAAAACAATTTGAATATTTCTCTTTCTCATAACATCACTTCTTCCTGTCTTTTTTTCCTCTGATCTGAGCGTTAATGTTGACCACGTCACCGTTCGGCTCCTTGATCCTCTCACCTCCGCCTATCTGCATCCCACACACTGCCCCTGTATGTCCACTGGCCCTTCCGTCTGCTCTTTCCCATAGTTTCTCCCTTCGTTCTTTGAAGGACTCGTCTTGAGTTGTGCGTGTGGACTGAAGGCTGCCTCTCAGCTGGTGTTGTTGACACACTTAGTACAGTGGAGCAGCTCTCGCAGTGGGAAAAAGGCTCAGAGGCAGTGACACAAACTGTCACACAAAGCAAACAGTTACTGGATTTTATGCATGACTGAGCCGTGAAGGAGCAACACATCACAACGCAGCTCCGCTGTGTCGTGTGTGTGTGTGTGTGTGTGTGTGTGTGTGTGTGTGTTGCTGACTCCCTGGTGAGCACATGTCCGACCTTCTTAGTGACACAAGAGGTGGATCGTATCAAAGGATATTTTCAAGTGAAACCAGAAACATTTTTAGGGGGAGAAGGATTAATATAGATTAATTCTAGATTTAGCACAGTCTTATCTATATCTGCCAGTAAATGTTTGTGATTGTTCACATCCACAATGTGAGCAATCACTAGGATCAAACAGGATCATTTTGATTCATGATATTGTTCATAATCTAAGTAGAATAACCCTTTTTAGTCATGGAATGGCAAACCATAAAATGTTAAAATCAACTGGATCAGAATCAGTAGAAAGAAAGTAGCAAGTTTTGACTCTTGTAATTTTTACTTTTTCCTGTGTTTTGTGATCAAAAATCATCCCATCCCTAATCCATCTGAACCTTTCCTGCATTTTTAGTTGTCAGCAAAGAAAAACACACACAAAAGCTTTCCTAAATTTATCTTGAGGAAATATGTATGACCAGATGCTAAGTGATTCTGACTACCGCTGTTGCTGCTTTGTGTGCCTCTGTCGCTGGTGAGATAACCCCCGACACTGCAGCCGGGAGCAAGTTCAATTTGCTAATCACAAAAACGCTTAGAATATGTCAGTCTTTAAGGAAATACAGATTTAATGTGAAAATACTTCTACACATCTGAAACATACAAATATGCTCCCATTATGGACTTAGTTCATCATGCTAATTTCAAATACAATTCTCTTTGAATTATTTTCACCATCCTACCATTCTTTTCTAACCAGACATTTCACATATAGGCAGGTTAATCCAAAACGTCCATATAACTGCCGAAAGCAAAAGTGTGCATCCACACAGATCTGCAGACAATTGTATTTGCGACGCCATGCCAAGTTGTCCTCTATTTGTCTGGCTGCCCTCTTGAATCTTATTCAGTAGGTTACTTTTGGAAAGGTGTGAAAATGTTCAACAATTGTGGCTACCATCCAGTAGCTCACCATCTTTAGTGTGTGAATGTGTGTGTGTGTGTGTGTGCGTGTGTGTGTGACTGAATGTAGTGTAAAACACTTTGGAGTCCTCTGGACTTGATAAAATTCTTTACAAGTGCAGGCCATTTATCATCACTCATAATGTTTTTATTATTGTTATCATTGGACAGAGAACTGAACTGAATACATTTTGTAGGTAATTCTGCTAATAGAGATGTTGCTAAAGGTGATGCACAGTCCCCAAAAAGCTTGAACTCTGGGTGACACGCTGGACCAAACATAAATGGCTATTGGTGATGATAAAACTAGAGCATATCAGTGTAAATAACAGGGTTGATAAGACAAAGGAAAAGCAGGGGGATGTGGGAGCGGAGAGGGTGGAGGGGAGGCTTGTTCCGGCCTCTTCTGAAGCTTCCTGAAACACAGAGGAAAGAATGCGGGCTACTTTTGGGTCCAGCTCTGAGATTCTCTCATACTCACTATGCCTTTAAGCACAGTGGCGGAAAGGTTTAAGGAAGAGCTTATGAAAACAGCAGAATAAAAACAGGGTATAGATTACAAATATGCACAGCTAAAATAAGCTTTGGCTATTGCTTGCCAGAAATACTGAGGAGGCAACAACTCGCGGGTTTCAGGATGCTGCAAGATCTTACAAGAACCAAAGAAGAACAGTCATCATATGCTAGAATATCCTGAGGAAATGAAGAATAAACAAAGACATATCACGTTTTGGCGAGAGCATTCACAGCTCTTGAACTTCTTTGCATCTTGTCACATTACAACTACAGACTTTAGAGAATATTATTGGGATGATTTAATGTGATAGAGCAACAGTACATAGTGCACGATTATGAACAAATACTCATGTTTTTTTTTTTTTTCTTTTAGTTAAGAATTTGCTAAGTGGGAGTGCATTTGTATTCAAACCCTTACAGTGAATACTTTGTAGAGCTACATTGCATTACCGCTCCAGGGGTAAACATTTGTGTTTCTAACATTTTTCATGTTTAGATACTGAAATCATTTTGTCTTCTATTCTTTACAAAACAGCTCAACCTCAGTCAGACTGAATGGAAAGAAGCTGTGAGCATTGATTGAGGTTTTTCCACAGATTCCACATTAAGTCTGGACTTTGACTGGACCATTCTAACACATTATGTATCTTTTAATCTAAGCTATTCCACTGTAGTTATGGCTATAAGTTAAGCACAAGTATTGCATAGTGGGAAGAAAGTGAATCTTCACATTAATCTCATGTTTTTGGGGATTTTTGACAACCACTTTTTCTTCGACTTTATCTCTGACCTGTCTCGTATGTTTCTTATGTTTCATGATATTGTATCTTGTATCGGCATAAAGCACGCTGTATAAAAACACACAACACATTATTCAGATTTTGATTTGAGGGATAAAAAAGGTTAAAATGTAAGTATCATTTCATGTGCTACTTTGTTTTGCTCTATCATTATATTGATTGAAAGTTACTGTTTTAATGTTACCAAATGTGGTTATAATGAATATTTGATACTACGGTTTTCACAAATAAAAAAACAAATCTAATACAGGTGTCTGCTAACATAATAGCAGAATATGAAAATAGTCTATAAGGAAAGTAGAAAATAGTCTTTTGTTCTTACATGAGGTTCAGTTTCACGGTTATGATCATTTGATGAAAATAACATCTGCTGTTTCAGGTATTAGTTGGAGCTTTTGATGTCTTATACCAAAAGCAAACCATTTGATCTTTCTACAAAGACATTTCTTAGAAAAAAATCAGAAAAAAAAATATGATTTTGCTAAACTACATCTGCAGCTGACTCACTCTCAGTTTCAAAACTGAAGGCCAGGCTGCTTAATAACATCAGTTATCAGGTTTCGTACCTGTTTAAAGCCAGATTCTTGTGCTCATTTTCACTTCAGGTTCTTTTTTGTTGCTTTGCTTATTTTTGTAACCCAATTTCATCTTTCAACACCTTTTATACATTTCTGAGCTCATTCTACTTTTTTTTTTTTTTTCAAAGAATCTGAAAAGGTTTGATGGCTGTGGATGCTTATGCGCATCACGGCATGTGGCCACAGTAAACAAGAGAGCAAGTGCTGATTTTACAGACGATTTCAGGTAAAATCAACAGCACTCAGTTTATTCAGTCTGTGAGGTGTTGAATTGCCCTCTGTAGCTATCCTCATCTTATGTGAAAACACTAGTTTGTCACAAATCTTCAGAAAAATGTCAGCGCTTCCTTTTCCTGATTAATTAAAAGTTTGAGCTTTCGTTGGAGACATGATATTACTATGATAATCTCCTCTCTCTGGACAAACGTCGGCTAGAGTGAGGAATAAATTACACCAAAATAGCTCTGGACTCACTTAACACTAAAATAATATAACGTTAATGGAAACTTAAGGGTTTTCAACCCTGCAGGCACGATGCTCGTTTTCAAATACAAATGAGTGGATATGAGGGTTTACGGGGCTGTCTGCAAATTTCATCAGCCGACACTTTAGATGACTTTGAGGCCAGTCCGAATGGAAAAGTTGCTCTTTAATTAAAATGCAGAAAGCAGACTATCTGAAATGTACCCTCTATGACCTATTAAATATAATCAAAGCAGTAGTGCGAGGGGTGTCTGCAGCGTTTTGAAGGTTGTCGGAATCAAATTAAAGTTGAAATCTAAACCCGGACCTTAGAGTTATATTCAATTTTGTGAGTAAATTTTCTCCCCCTTTTGATGACAAGGTTTTAATTTTATCAAGTGAAACCTCACTATGGAGTGCATACTTCAACTAAAAAAAAGAAAAAAAGATTTGCAACATCACTGCTAACAGGTTTGTTGTTTTTTTCATTACCTTTATCTTGCTTTCAGTGTATCTCGCCATTTTTATATTTCAGCTACTTTCACTCTCGCTCGCTCTCCTCTTGCGTCCTCTTCGTCATCTCTCCTTCCGCTTTCTTTCCAGCTGACTCCGTCCCCGCTGCCCCCTCAGAAGATCAGGTCGGCTACCCTGTTCCCCGGCGGAACGGCGTGTTCCAGCATTCTACCTCTCTGTCTCTCTTGTTAACATCGACAGCAACAGCATCAACACACACTTGGGATGTCATAAACAAGTTGCACAAACATTCCCTGAGGACACCCGGTTTGCACTTGGTGCTCAGTGACCTGGCGAGAGATAAGGAGGTGATGGAGAGTGACTGCGGTGGGTTGCTGAACTTTCGGTGAATTCCTGTGGCAGCGATGTTGAGGAGGTCAGAGAGAGGTGAGGCGTAGGCTGTGCGAGAGCGTACGGGTAAGCTGTTTAACTCGAGACTGATTTGAATCGGAATTAGCCTGGTCAGTTCGTCGCTCTTGGGATTAAGGCTCAGTGAGGGTTCCTATGTAACCTTTATGAAGAATATGTTTTTACATATTTGTTGAAACTGCCGTCATGTTGTGACAGTAAGAAGCTTTGAGAGAGAGAATCTGTGAAAAGATCGAGCTCCTCCTCCTCCTCCTCCTCTCTGAGCTACTTACTATTGCTGTCTGAAGAAATGCACCGCTCCCGAAGAAAAACAACCAATCCGGGCTAGGAGGAAGGGCTTAGCACTGTCAACCAAACTCATTTAATCCCTGCTAAATGTGCAGATGGTGGAGAAACAAGTTACGGTTTCAGGAAAGTTGTTTATCTGCAGTCATCGGTGGCTAATCTAGCTAGACTGAGCATTAATAACAGGCTATGCTAGCTGTAGCATAGCACAAAGCAAAGGGTGTGGGATTATCTGTCTCATATCATACTGTTGCGACAGAGTGCAGTCTCAACAAATATCTAAAGAGAAATATATTTTTTATAAGCGCTACATACGTCAGCTTTAAAGTTCAGGAGAGTTTTGGGTAATTTGAGCAAAATTATTTGGTATTCTGCAGTTGTAGATGTGTGTGGGCAAATAATGTAGTTCTAGAGATTTGAATTCTTAAAGACAGTGATTAATCTTTCCATCTAGACAGAAAATTAAATGTTTTACCTCAACAAAATGGTTTTATAAGAAAAGAGGTGCACCAGGCAACATTTGTGTTGTTTTGTTTCATGACTTTATCAGAATATCTGATTGTTTTTCTGAAACATTTTCTGCTGCATTAAAAAATGGTTTGGAGAACCCGGATGTATCATTTTTAATAAATTAGCTTCTATTGTACATTAAGAAGGCTTTTAATTAGAATATTAATCTTCTGTTCAGGGATACTGCAATGACAATAAAATTTGTGGCAGTTTGTGTAGCCCTAGGATTGTTTTTTTTTTTCATTTATTGGCATCATAAAAACTGATGCAATAAAATCCTCTATCCTGTTCCAAGATATTTAGGACAGCAGCATGGAGCATTCATTCACCTCATTATCACCATTTTTGAGAAAATAGTGATTTTCTTTCTTTTTTCATTTTTGTTTTTGCAAAATAGCAGTTTCAGTTGTTTTTAAAATGGTAAAGTTTGTGTTTGAATTCAGTTTGCGGACACCGTAAATCTGACTGACAGACATTTTCATCTCGGGAGGCGGGGAAACACGCAGCTGATTAACCATCTTTGTTTCGCCAATTACAGGCTTTTGTTATTGGTTTTGGCCGATTAGCTGCGTGTTTGCATGGAACACGCAGCTACTTAACATCGCAACCACCACATTTGAAGAATGTTCCTCTGTTTCGGAAGATTTCTTGTAAACTGAGAAGAAATGTTCCACAAAGACAATGTGGAACATTTGGGACACTGTTCTGACCCCAGTGGAGTTCATGTACGACGTCCAGATGGATTCTTTAGAGAGGATCAGGACATAAGGAGAATTAGAAATGTTCAAGCTAACAAAATACAATCTTTACTTTAAAGATGCATAGACCTACCAGGAAGATACCAGTGAAAAGAAATGCCACACTGACTGCATATAACACCTAAAATAAAATTATTATTTACGTCAAGCAATCTAAAATCTGGAAATAAACATCATCTAGTATTCAGGGTTCACAGATGACTCAATGACAAAGGCTCACAGCTTGAACTGACCTGGATAAATTAAATGGATTCAAATAAGGCGAATTAGACTAAATTATAAATAAATAATTAGGAGTCTTAGTTTGCTGTGAACTGGGTCTCTAAAGTAAATAAACTTTATTAAATTGAATGGAGATTAATTGAACTCATTTGAGGGAAGTTGAGCTAAAAACTAAACACAATTGAAAACAGATCAAATTAACTGTGAGCCATCAATGTAAAGCAATATAATAGAATAAAACGTTTAATTGACTCATTGAAATGGATTTAACTGAACTGGAATGAATTGAATTAAAGTGACAATGTGGAAGAACAGCTTCCAATTTATTTCCCGAAGAAAACAAACCCTGTCAAATTTCAACCCACGTGCCCTTATCGATGCGACAACCTTATGACCTGGAATTTCAAAATTTGCCACAGACCCCCCCCCAAAAAAAGGAAAAAAGAACAAACCAGTTCAATAGAAAGCCTTGAATCTATTTAAAATTCAAAGCCGCTGATCATATTCTTATGCAGAGTCCAACAAGTTGCTGTTTAAATGCGGTCCTTGCTTTGTATATAACAAACAAAACAATTGTGACCACAGTGGTTGCCCTACAGTACACTCTTCCTAATGAAAACCTTTCCTGCGTCATAAACAAGGAAGACATTTCACTACTTCAGACTTTTGAGAACCCACGCAGATGATTGTATCTCCACCTTTTTGAATCGGCTCCAAAAAGCAAGAAATCGAAACATTCTTCTTTGTGGAATGGATGACCTCTGGCTCGCTCGTTACACAAATTGGAGGGGGAGCATTCCAAGAGCTCCTTTATTATGTATATTTATGCAAATGCTATGTGGGTTTATTCAGCGAGGTCTCTCTCACTCCTCCTCTCATTGGCCCTGATTAGTGTTCAACCCAGAGGTATGTGCCTGGACAGCGGCAGAGGATGGGGCTTCGCAGCCGTGATTGGTCTAGTGAAAACCTTCAGAGGAGGGAAGAGCACAGATGATTCATTGTTCTGCAGGAATCTTTTGTAAATTTTAAATAAGGCTTTATCAAAATATTCTTTGTAACAGCAAATAAGCTGAAGATGCCTTCTTATAAAATACGCACGCCTGCTCGGCCCCGGCGGCTCTCCTGCCCCACATAATAACAATCTCATCTCCTCTCATGTCCCTCACCTATTCAGTGTTCTAGTTAGTCATTTCTCCTCCTCAATTTCCTCGTCTTTCGTTTTTAAACTTTCTCCACCTATCCTTCCCACTGCCCTCCTCTGTCTTCCTCGTCCACCGTGTGTCTCACTCTGTCTAAACCCCCCACGCCCTCCACCGAGCTCTTGCCCACCTCCCTTTCCGCTCAAACACATACAGGAGATTAAAATATGAGGAAACAATCAAGCTCTGGCTCATTAGCATGAGAACAGGGGGAGGGAAGACGACGGGCTACTGCAGACATGACAACGGAGCCCTGAAAATCCACCGCAAAGCTTTTTTTTTTTTTTTTTTTCATTCTTTCTTTTTAATCCCAGGAATGACTTTTTACCGTATTTTGTTGAATGAGAAGGAACAATCCTCCGGCAGTCCTTTCAGGCAGCCAAATTACCATGAGAATAAGAGGGCGCAAGGAAGAGAGAGAGTGCTTATATAGCGGCTGGTGAAAGAATGGAGACTATAGACGGAATAATGTTTTTCCAAGGCAACAATGAGAAGCTAAAAAGATAGGATTTAGTGTGTGTATCTGTCCTGCGAATGCGCTGGCTCGGGTGTGTAATGAGAAACCGAACAACAGCAAGTGACGCGTTTGCGTTTGTCTGCGGTTATATCTGGGGGTTGAGGAATGTTCTAATCAGCGAATCAATTAGAGTGATTGCGCTGCACAAGCAAGGCAACATTACACGCATTATCTGAGGAAATCCTTTGCGGAAATCCTAGCAGGAAGTGCTGGTGAAAAAGGTGTCACATTACAAAATATACAGGAGAGTCCTCAGCTCTTAAAATGAATAACAATAAAAACAGTTCACATGGACACAAACGATCAGCCTCCTCACATCAGGCCTACCTCAAATAACAAAAGCATGTTAACCACAGGAAATGATCAGTGGAACTCAGTGGGGTTTAAACCGAGCGCTCTACATAAAGTATTTGTCGAATTCTCCCATTTTAAAGGGTTAAACGTGTTGGTGGCAGATAATATGACTCAGTTACTTTTTATTCAGATAGTGGGTGCTGCTCCAGTCAACCACCGATTTGCTGTTATTTATCACCACCAGTGAAGATGCCGGCTCAGGTCGCACGATGCGTTTTCCGAGAAACTACACAAAAGTGAGAGCTTAGGAAGAAATGATTTAGTGCTATGGAAAATACAAAAAAAAATAAAAAATAGATTCCTTTTTTTGTCTAATGTTATTTCCCATTGCTTCTTTAAGGCTATCCTGAGCTGAACAAAACTAGAGTTTAATAATTATAGGACATGGACAATTTATGCAAAGTGAAGTAAAAATAACTAAATGCAATGGTACCATTGTTGTGGTTTCAAACAGGCATGAGCAAAGTAGGTTTCAATGTCATCATTTTCCAAAATGTATGTAAAATAAAAAAAAGCTTAAAAGTTCATAACTTTGGAGATCATTTAAAATCAAAATAAGAGTAAAAATATACATCTTTCTCCTCCTACACCATCTTGTCCTTTTGATCTGTTACCAACTTAATACAAGGCCCGTATCGCTGATTCCAATACTGATACCGATACTTTTTATTTTAGTCTGATATGTCCTCAAACTTCCAACCTTTAAGTGTTTGTGCTTTTTTGTTCTTTGAATTATTTTGTCCAAGCCTCAGACAGAAATTGGACAAATATGTAGGACATCTACAAAAATCTTTAAGAACATATTGCAATTTTTCTTAAATAAACAAAGTGCAAAAACTTGTCTTTTAAGAGCAAATCAGAAACAGTTTTTTTAAGGTAGAGTTGAGAAACTAAGCAATTTTCAAGAGGGAATCTGAAACTAAAGTATTGATCTTACCATCTTAGTTTCAATCCAATACTGATTATATCGATACTGGTATTGATTTTATCAATATTTTGGATCGATCCGCCCACCTCTATTGCATGGAGGCCGACGCCTATCTTGCATTGCCTCTAATTCAAGGTATACAGCAGTACTATTTTTTTTTTTTTTTATCATTTTCATTTCCCACTTGCTAGAAGGTGACATAACGTAATGTAAGATGCTCTTCTCTCCATATCCCTTTGTTTTGCTATGGTGCAAAAGATTTGCCTAAAATTGGTGAAATGGATTCAGTCAGTTAAAAACTAAAGTATCTGTTAAATGTATAAAACAAATTTTGACAAGTGGTGATCTAAGGTTTGTAACTTTTGAGCTATGAGCTGCATTACAGCCCTTTGTACTCTGGTGGGCTCTTAATATTTATGCAAATCACATACATTTCAAGATTGGGATTTCGATAATTACGAATACACATTCATCTCTCATCAGTAGGAGGAAGTGTGTGTAGGCACTCACTAATGGGAACCAACTGAGCTGTTCTGTACACAAACTCAAGGTTGCTGTATCCTTCTCCACATGCAGTTAATGGGACCCATCTAAAAAGCTCATAAACAAGAAGTCTTGTTAAAGATCACCTTACACACGTCGAGGTGTGATGCGCTGCACAGATTACCCTTCACACACGGTTCTTCTAGGCACTGCAGGGGGGGTTTACGGTAATTTCAAAGTGTGTGTTTCAGGGTTGCACCACAGAATCTATACCGCCGTCACTAATTTCAGTTCAATACGTCTCTCTCCTTCAGACTGACCAGGTCTGATTTAAACACACTGTTATCTTTGCCTTCCTTGCTCTAAGGGTCGCTGTCTAGTCATTATTTCTCTGCCGCCTTCCTTGACTTGTTTCCCTTTTCTCTCTCTCTCTCTCTCTCTCTCTCTCTCAGCTGTAATTAAATTCCTTCATCAAACCTGAGAGGGGCAAAATATTCAGAGAATGAAAGAAGAAAAGGGAGGGGGAGAAGGTGTGAGGGCAAGTGGAAAGGAGGGAGGGAGGAAGAGATCAGAGTGCAGGAACATATTGAGTGGAATCCAAGACTGTTCACAGATCAGATGATGACCTGAGGATATCTGAAGGGAAAATCTGTAAAGACAACGGTAGAACCCAGATATACATCTACATATTATATATATATATATATATATATATATATATATATATATATATATATATATATATATATATATCGTTTAAATCTCAGGTGGAAGATTAAACAGAAATAGTAAGGAAAAAAGAAAAGAGGGGAAAAAAAAGAAATCCATTTCACAGCTGAACAGAATAACATGATAAATCTCACACACAGGACTTCAGTACCCAGATTCGGTATTTTATATAAATGCACTAGAAGTATGTTAACTCAGCCAACTGCATCTGTATAAAGAAAAATCCCTATGCTCATCAAAAGCTGTACACATGACATTTGCTACTTAATCTACAGATTTTACATTTCAAACCAATTTCTAATTCCTCCCATTTTTTTTCTTCCTTTTTTTGTCCTCTTAAAAGCGGCCACCATTACTAATTCAGGAACTGAGTGATTCATCACATCCAACACTGCCATGCTTTGCCCGTTTCAGAACCTAAAGCCGAGCAGCGAGAGCAGCTCTCAACATGCTCACTGATCATAACCCAGGCACTGTGCGTGCTCGGATTGATTTAAAGGGTCTGATCAAATTACCCGGAAAAGGTTAAAAGTATCCATTACTGGCTAACATGCTTTTGCTGTATTGAACACAGGGAGATAAAGGACAAAGCAGCAGCAGCCATACAGCAACAATCAAGCCCAACTGCATCCTGGAGGCATCGATAATACAAAAGATTTCAGGAGGAAACCGCGTTCGGTTTCCTTCTGAAGGTAAAGCTTCAAAAAGGCAACAAAGGAGGTTTACCGTTCTAAAGCAGACATCTTTCTTTTAATTCCATCGGCTCATCCGTTAATTTGCAAGTTGAAAAAGTAACTAGAGGGCAGTAGAAAACATGCACTCATGAATTGAAATGGAATATAATGGTGAGAAAGACATGCATGATAGGCATGTTGCTATGATTGCATCAAGATACATCTCCTGCTACCAGGAAGGACAAATTCAGGTCTTTACGTCTTTTACATTTTACATTTTACAATCAATAAGTGGAAAATAAAGGAGCACCAACCATTAATATTTTTAAAGAGAAGATTTCAGATTTTTGAAGGGAGGCTCTGTTCAGGAACCAATATGTAGCACTTCTGTTATGAGGATGTTACATAACAGTGAATTTATAGAAATCTAAATAATCTCCCATTTGAAATTATTTCCACATTGTAGAACAACTTAAACTGGAAATTTTCATTTACACAGCATATAAAATTATATAAGTAGATATTAACTTTGTACGCTTTTGCAACAGAGTGTTTCTTTTTTTTTTTTCTTTTTTTTTTTTCTATGCTAATGTTATGTTGGTGATGGCAACTGGCTTTATCAACCAGGCAGATCAGATGCAAAGTGTAAAAGTCTACTCCAATCTTGGTAATTTGAAAATGGACTGACAAGATCAAGTGAATTGATGCACCCAAAAGATGTAAACAATGTCACTTTAGCAGAGCATTGCAGAAGTTTTCCTGCTCACACCCTGAAACTAATTGTCAAAATACTAGGTAACGCATCCAAACAGCTCAGAAGTATGACTATTGCAATGCCATTCTTTAATACAAAGCCTGTTTTATGATCAAGAGAGAAAGCTTGTCAAATTTCCGATCAGATGCAAACTTCTTGGTTGAATGCAAATGACTTCTAAAATCTGCCAAGGGGCAAGAATAATCTTGTGCTTATCTGTACTTTTCCATTTTTACTCAAGGTTATCATACCACGAGAATCTCATACTGTCCATTGCCTGAAGCACAGCAATATAAAATGGTAAACAGTAAGCACAGCAGTCCTGCTGAGGAAACAGTGCAGGCGAGGGAAGAAAAGATAAAACAGCTACAAGTTTGACAAAGGTGTGTGAAGGTTGGAGAGACGGACGAGCGTACAAGTGGATAGCAGAGCGGGGAATAAAGGCCACCGGAGAGGTCACTTCTGCTGTTAATAATTTATCCTTTAAAAACCAGTGTGAGGCTTTAATTGGTGCTGTGTCTAATCCTGAAACACACACACCTCGGGGAGCCTCTTAGCAGCTGTGCTCCAGCTAAATTGGCTGCAGAGTAGCAGCGACAGCAGCAAGTTCCCTCCAGGTATACTACAGTCAGCCAAAACAGCAATATCGGCCCTGCCAAGCACCATCTCATGAATCTGGGCGTGACACTTCTCACTGTCTCACGCTCGCCTGTCACACTCCGAAACGCAATCTAAGGGCAAATCAAAACGACAAGATGTTAGTCCCCAGGTGTGGTTGTTAGTGAGATAAATATTTGGCCCACTTCACTTGTAATCTGCCATTAGCCGGGGCTGAAGATGGCCCCGCGCAGCCCCGGAAGCCGGCTCGGAAATCATCTAATGATTTACGGCTTTGCTTAGCACAGACAGAAATGACAGCCTGTAAATCGAATTAGCCTTTTCGAGACCCCAGGCTTCGCTGCTGTTTGAATTTTGAGGAAATAATAAGAGTGGGAAGTCATTACAGTCATGTAATAACCAGAGAACCACAATTTGTTCTTATTTTATTTTTTGGTGAGAGCAAATTTGTGCGACCTCCAGTGAGCCATTAGAAACAATTTAAGCACAAACTTTCTAGTTAAAAACACACATAGGTGTTTTTTTTAAATATTTTTTACCCACAGAAATGAAATTAGGTTTATTGTTCTATTGCATGTATAAAAACTACGCATCATGCAGGCTCAGATACACATTCAACTGTTATAATTAAATAAATATTGCTTATATTTTGGTCTCTTTGAGATTTTTAATTACATACAAAGAGTTAGTGTTTCCACCTAAAATGTGGACATTATTTAAGTTTTTCTTAAGTGTTCAATCAACAGATGAACTAAACAGGAAGCTGCAAACTTCTGTTACTCATAATCTAACAACCTAAAGTAATAAACAACAGATTGGTAACAATAAATTACATTAATCCATAATTAACACAAGAGGAAACAGTTTTATAACCTAGATTAACATATCAACATTAATATACTTAAGAAGCAATGATAATATTTGAAGTCGTATCTCTAGGTGAGAGAAACAATTTATCTTGTGCTGAAGTTGGAGAAAATCCCTAACACTAGAGTTAGAGTAAGAAATTAGCATGGCAATAAATTTAAGTTGCTTTTACTTTTTTTTTTTTTTTAAATATTGGCCATCAACCTCGGCTCAGCATACAGTTAATAAGTGAGGAGGCACATATGTGACTGGCACAGCGCTGGTGTGGACGCGTAGGCAGTAAAAGTGTGAAATACAGGACAGTGTGGCCTCCAGTAAATCTAACAGCTGCTGGCAGAATATATAGGATGGTCAGCAGGCCACCGGCCTGCGTGTGCGACAGGATCAATAGGAAACCTTCAATCTGCTGTGACTTACTGCTTCTGAACAGAAACTGCTAAATTTTCATCTCAAACTGAAAAATTGAAAGTAAAGGTGTCATCAGAGAACAGTGACAAAACATGCCTGGAACATACACAAAATAAATAGCTGCACCCACCACTGTAAAAAAAAACAAAAAAAAAAAACAACTTTTTGATCTACTGTAGCCTAAGCATTTCTCTTTGGTTTGAGGCCATGTTTTTAGAAAAAAAATAAAAACTAAAATAATAATAATAATTAAAAAAAAATCAATATGTTCTTGAGTGACAACAAAAATAAGAAATGTGTGTCTTTGTTTTCACATAGGGAGTAAAGATGTCAAAAATTCCAATCTGTATTGTAAGAAATCTGTAAGTAAGTAAAAGTTTCTTCATACAGCATCTTTTACATATATTTACAGAGACAAAGAAATACTTCACAAGATAAATAAATAAATAAATCAACAGAACAGGACACCAACACAAAACCATCATAAATGTGTGACATATATGCTCTAGATTAGCTAAAAGCTTCTTAGGTTGGAAATGTATTTTATTGCTTTTTAAAGGTATTCACATAGTCCAAACGCCATAGGAAGCTTGGCTGTGCATTCCACAGTCTGGGTGCAACAGCTTGGAAAGATCGGTCTCCTCCAGTGGGTGTAGACAACTAAATAGCTCAACAACCTCAGACTAAAGGAGGGGAGATATATATATATATATATAAATCTGAAATCTGAAATATACGAACAAACCTCTCCATGGACAGCTCTGAAGGTTATGATTCAAATTTAATAATAAAGATCTGAAGAGCAGCCAATCTATCAGCTTTAAAACAGAGGGGTGGAGGGTGGAGGAGTACCTCTGTTAGAGCAAGTTAGAAGTCTTTCAGCAGAGTTTGAAACAACCTGGAAATGAGCCAGAATCTTTTTAATAAACTAAGTGAACAGACCATTACAATAGTTCAATTTGTGCAGAGACAAAAAGAAATAAAAAAGCATGAATTATCATCTGACGTTCAGTTTTTGACACCTTTCATCTTAGCTTGGAGACATTCTACAAAAAAATAAATAAATAAATAAAAGACGGTTTTATGGGTTTAAATGATGTTTCAGTAATAACACCTGTATTTTGGAGCCTGTGCTTCCATTAGAGTGCTAAATCACCCTGCTACTTTTTAATGTCAGGCATGTCACTGTCTGCTGCAATAGCAGGAGTTTCAGCTTTTCTGGGTCACACTCTAAGTAATAGTTTTTAACCACTGTTTGTCCAATCAAAGAAGACAGTTTGTGAACCTTAGGAGGTGCAGCTGAACGTTATCGGCTGTAATGTGTCGGCAACCAGTGTTGAATATTACAGAGGTTCATGTTTTTATGATTGTCTCGTTCTAAGGTGGTCCCAATGCTAAAAAAAAACAAACCTTAAAGTGATATTTTTGGTGTTTTCATAAATTTAACAAACACTTCACAGATATTAGAAAAAATCATTTTGGTGTCAGAAACTTTTCTGACTTCAACAAACCTTTATAGTGAACTTGGATAAAAATGTTGTAATATGTAAAAAAAAAAAAAAAAAAAGAAAAAGGAAAAATAGGTTTAAGACTGAATAAGTGAAACCACTTCCTTCAAAAGGTATGATTGCTTGCATCATTTCCTTGAAAATGAAATTTTCTAAATTAATCACTTTCGTCTCCTGAATAATCTTACACCAAAGATGCTCGTTTATTTTTTTGCAAAGCACAAGATGCTTTTAATTCACAGCCTATACATCCTCACAATGTGCCACTCTATACCCTATGATGATATCAGTGGCAGTCACCTGTGTCACAACTCAAAAAAAAAAGAGTTAATCTCAGACCACAGTCTATGCCACATAAAGTCTGTGAATCATGTGTTGCTAACAGCATGTTTCTGAATCCGAGAGCATTGAGAAACATGCGTGACAGCAGCCGTTTACCAGAGACTCCCGATGTGTCGCCTATGTTGCCTGTTTTGTGGGGGAATCGAAAACTCTGCCTTGAGAATTAGATTTCCAGAGTGAGATAAAAACCGGAGTTGCAGACTTGCCACAGTCCCGAGTCACGCAGACGGCGAGGTTATCACGCAGACCCTGGCAGCATGAGAATCCCTTGCATCTCCCAAACTCTATTGCACCGTGAAATGTCACGGCACATTAGCTACGAGAGGAATCATGCTTGCTTGCTTGAAAGCAGAAACAAAAAGAAGAGAAGAGCGGAAGGGGCCCAGAGACTGGACAAACAATAACATTTTGAAGAAAAGAAGAACATAGAAAATTTGCACCTACACATGAACACGTGGCGACGCATCCAGGTGAGTGCTGAGTTATAATTCAATTCCCCTCCCTTTTCTTTCCTCCTTTTGTGTTTGAGCGTCTCAGATTATGTTTACATCTCTATTTGGTTATGCCTATGAATTATGTCCACACACACACACACACACACACACATATGCATACACAGAGCCTGACAAAAGCTTATCTGTGGCAGAGGAGTTGAGCTGGGCTGGCAGACTGCGACCAACAGCTTGTGGTTGTACTCTGGAAGAAAACAAAAAGTCTGTCTCTGCTGCTTTGTCTCTGTTTCGCCTCTCCATACTTTTGTCAGCTCCACTTCCCCTCTGTCTGCGTTTCCCTCTCAATCTGCAGTTCATTTAGACTTCATGTCTCTGGGTGAGTGGTACAAAGTCCATATTTTTGTGCTTGGGTAAAATATGACTGCAGTTCAACTTTCCGCCTGCCATGCTGACTTTAAAAAGAACGGAGTCTTCCATAGCGCTTCTCTGGGGATATCTATCTTCCAGGGAGAGGGATGGTGTACACCTCAATGCTGCAGAGGTAGGAAAATGGCACTGAACGTGTGTGAAACTCTTACTCCAAAAAAGAGAGGTTGCTCCTTTAATTCTTTTATCCACAGTGGTCACTACAGAGGACAGCTATCTAGAAGTCATTTTCTTGTGCTTCTTGTGGATTTGTATGTTATAAATGCACACAGACCACTGAAGTGGACACTAATGCATCATAAAATACACTATCAACTACTGGCCATCAGCTGCAAATGCAAGAAATTATTTTTGTTAAATCCAATATGGCCGACAGCCAAAAAAAGCATGCCAACCGACCCGCTCCCTCCTTCTATTGTAGACGACTCTTCCAGGTAAAAAAAAATATTGTGACATCTGATAACCCCTAAAGAACAATACTGCTGATGTATTTTTCAAATAACAACTTTGTATTTGGAGAAAATTACAATTGATCATCTAAAAAAAAAAAAAAAAAAATTTTACAAATTCTTTTGCCTACCTTTTTTTATGCCTTAAGAAAATTTAAAAAATGGGGAAAAAAAATACTGACACGAAGGATCATAATTCATGTATGAAAGGGATAAAATAACTGCAAAAACTGCTCTTTTTCTTCTGACCGTTTTTCTCTCATCACTCATCAGGTTCCCTTTGAGAATCTTACAGAACAATTGATCCCACTGGAACCTTTCAGTACAAAATGGAGCCACAAGATATTTCATTTAAAGAGTTCAGTTTGTACTGACTAGGAAGACATTTCATGCCTGCTCTGACAACCAATGACTTAAAATAGCTGTTTCTTTATGACGTACTCAAAGTTTATTGTAGGGAGATGTGGGTGTACCACTCGGATAAATTATATCTACCAGCAGAAAGGTTGTTCAGGGTTATTCTGTTTTGATCAGCGTTTATAATCTGTAATATTTCAGTCGATTCTACCCTGTCCACAAAAAAGAAACAAACAAAAAAACAACTATATTATCAGGTTATATCTGTGTCATTTTCAATCCCACCCCAAAAAGATCAGCGGATACTTGACACCTTGTATGAAAACAGGTTTCACACAAACCAAGCTGAGTGTCCCCCCTCATCAATGGGTTTTTTTTTTAGAGAGACAGGGAGCTCTCAGGAGACATCTGCTGAGAGGATAATTCTAGGGTTGTATTGGTAAGAGTGCTACAGTCAGTATTTTCTGTCACAGTGGTGCACTGAACGTGCCTCCTGTTGGACCCGGAGCTTCCAGTGCAGCTAATGCCACAGTCGGCAGCTGCTCTGTGTGTTGGTACTCCTACCAGATTGACTACTAGAACCTCAAACTGAAGATGTAAAACTTTTTTTTTTTTTTTTTAAGCAGGGCTGTTTACAGGTTTAAGGTAGATTTTGAGGAATTCAGTTTTATGACAGGGTTAGGAAATGTCTCCCAGGAGTGTTCCTGTGTGTTGGAAAAACAGCTGATGGTGCAATGGGTAGCGGTTATGAGCCTGTCAAAAAAAAAAGAAAAAGAAAAGAAAAGATGGCTCTCCCACGTATTGTCCATGCTGAATGCACAGCCTGTTAGAATAGATAAAAATAAAAAGTGTAACAGTGGCCAGCCATATTCAGCAAGAGCCAATCAATTTCTAAAAAGGAGAGTGTGTTCCCGTCTTAACGCAACATTTGTTGGCTTCATCAGATGTAAGAAATGAGTTCAACGTGGGATGGACAAATAAGGTCAGAAACATTCTCCTCTACATCCTACTAGGTCACTAGTTTGACAACTTCTGCCTTTCTGATTGGTTCCATGTGACAACAAAAATCAAAAGTCATGACTCTATAGCGACGTTCTAAAATGTCAACTTTTGACATTTTAGAAGCAGTTACAACTAAATGAAGAAAATCAGACAAATAGGAACATTGAAGAAAATATTTATTTCTGAAAAGCAATAAAGATAATGGACCCTGTTGTATTTTTTATTTCAAATCCTAAAATATTTTTTTGTTGTTATTCTGACAATCCAGTCTTTTTTAGGAAACACCAGGAACAATGACTCTATAGCGCATAAAACAGACTCTCACATACAAGGAATCTGATAGTTAAATATTGGCAAAGACATATTATTCAATGCAACAGTAACTAATAAAGCTTAATCTACATATTAAGACTATTTATCAAATATAAAATAAAATAAAAAAAGTCATTTATTCTTGATAACGTTAGTAGTAAATGTCTTGAATGAATTTAGCAGCAGTCGCAGTATTTTCTGCTTTTCTGTTTAAACAAAAGCTGTTAGATAAAATGAATATTAAATTAAATTAGTTAAATATTTGTGGTTGAAATACCGGTATTAACATTTACAGTCCCAATGTCTCAGTCAAACTATGGTGGTTTTACTCAGGGTAATAATACTGTGGGAAAAACCGATCTGCTCACCCTTAAAAATAATCTTAATATACACAATATCTGAATGAATACTTTAAGTAATAATAACAATATTGATTTAAGGAACAGCTTGACATTTTGGAACTCATTTAAAAATGTAAACCAATGAGAAATCACTAGATAACCAGTTTCATACTATTGACGCAGCCTGAAGGAAGCAGATGGGGTTCAGCGACAGCTCAGACATGATAAAGAAGGGCAAACAGGGTAAGATGTTGGTATAAAATAAACAGAGTAAGTGAAACAGCAACATAATAAAAATAGATTAACAAGAAGACATTCAAGAGACAAAATGTATAAATTTCCTGTCAGGGAATGCAGCAATAAGGGATTATAATAGAGCCAGATATCAGTCCCACTATGGTCAGAGTTCTGCATTTATAGTTCCATATGTTTTCTGTAGATCAGGATGAAATTACATATATTTAAGAGATATATTTGACAGGCATCCAATAAAAAAATAACAGAATAGCAATAAGACTAGTAATTAAATATATTCA